GAAACGTTCATTGAATTTTTCATTAAGCCCCCCCTTCGTCGAAGGTCTGGGGCCCAGCCCCCCGAGAACAAAGCAGGCCTTGAGAATGGTGCGATAAAGACAGAACACATCCAGAGGCAGCCGTCGCATCGCCATCAAGTAATGATTTGGATAAACATCATGATCTTATTGGAATCGGACATGGCATTGCCGCGTCTCTTTCAGTACATTTCTGCCATGTCTCGCTTCTTCTGCTTCGAGCAGTGTCTTTCTCACCAATTGCAACGTGTGGCTCTCGGTTGGCTCTACTTGTCTTAAAGAACGTAGAAGACCTTTGGAGAACCTACCGCGTCTTCGAGTGGTTGCTGGACGACGGTTCTTTTTTTTCTTCGCCCAAAAAAAAGCTATGCGCAAGAACTTTAGAAGAAGGTTTTGGGTAACAGTCACATGCCGCATGTAGACCACGCGCAAGACGCTCGAAACAACATGCAGGGCAGCTGGTTGACCTGCTTTGGATGCAAACAGGACTCTCTCTATGCACCACACGTTCCATAAACGAGACAGAATCATGTGAAGGTGCCAGCCAAGCAATACTGCCGACGACGACCCCCACTGCTACTTCTATTGCTGTTGCTTCCGCCTCGTCAACAGCGACTTTTAGGGCTTGCATTCAGAAGGTGAAGCTTCCGGAAGTTTTTTTGGCCTGGAGCTGTGTGGATTTGATCCCATTGTTGACTTTAGGGTTGCATAGCGAAGATAAGACACAACGTTTCTTGCAAGTGCAGGTTGAGATGCGTGTGGGGTGGGTTACAACGTTCATGCGATTGTCGTTTGCATCCAAACTGATACTGGAAGGAAAAAACCACCGAACGACTCTTGCCGGCTTAGCTTGTTGGTCGCAGCTCGTTTTGTTTTTTAGTTCATTGTTGCTTCTTGTTGATTTCGTTGGGACCGAGTGCGGCAACCGCCGTCGACGGCCTGCTCACGCCAAAAAAAATGGAAGGAAAAAACCACCGTAACTTCAAACACAACTTGAAAACTGTTTGCACACACTGTGCAGGGGAGGTTTTGCGGAAAACATCGTAAATACCGTGGATTTCGTTGTTTTGACCAAGAGCCCCGCCAGCTCCAGATTCAAAGCTGTGTTCGTAAAGCAGATTGCTTTGACCATAATGACGCTGGTGAGGATGATGATGATGATTATTTTAATGGTGATGGTGTTGCTGATGGTCATGATGTTGATGCTTCATGTTGATGATGATTTTGTCGTTGATGTTGTTCCTTGTTCACGCACAAGATGACGAGATGATGATGAGTATGATGATAACAAACATATTGACAATGTTGCTGCCTGTTGCTGCTGTTTTCCTGTTCTTCGTCAGATGCTCCCACTAAAACAGTATCGAGTGTTGTGGCTTTTCAACACAGACATTTCAAGAAACGACGCAAAACTCAAGCAAAGAATGATAACCACGTTGACGATGTTTTCGCAAAAATCACACAAGAAAAAAGAAACGAACAAACACGGACAAACCAAGGGCAAAACATCCTCTTACCCACGAAAACCAGACGCAACTCGATGTTTTCAACACAAAACTCGAGGTTTTCAGGCTATTGACAAAGAGAACTTCAAGCAAAAAACCGACACACCCTCTACGGCGGCAAGGGCAACGCCTACCTCAATGTTGTTGTTGTTGTTG